CATAAAGGCAGAGAGATCAAAGAGGCTATGGAGGGCTTTTCAGTTTGCTTTCAAGGTTTATACATTCGCAGGAGGTCACGATGAACGAGCTGATCATTTAACAAGACAACTTGCACATGAGATTCAAACAGATCCTGATCAAACCGATTCATCGATCATGCCTTGAAACCAAAGAAACTTTCATCATACAATATATGTTTACTCTTTTGAAAGCAAGAAGAAATTGATGCTTGAAAATGGTTGCAGTGTAACATTTTTGTGGGTCTCTAGTTTTGATTGATTTGAACCAATGCAAAGAAACAAAGATTGGTTTTTTTTTGCCATTACCTATATATATATAAAATTGCATGACAAAGGAATCAAGCAAAGATCTTAAGAGAAAAAGTCAACGGATATGGCAAGAGAAGTAGGATAGGTTTCAAAAGAATCCATCAAAGTCAACGACATACTCTTCTTCTTCAAGAACACTATCTTCCATGATCAACTCGTTTTCTATATGTTCCTCTCTTTCTTGATCTTCTTCAGTCATATCAATGTCTTCTTCTACTTCTTTTAGAGGTTCTTGAGAGAAGAGGGCTACTCTCTTCACTTCCCTTTCATCTTCTGACTTCACAACCAAATCTGTCAACAACAAATCAATCAGATAATCTTCAAGAGTAGGCACTAAATTAAACTTGAGTTTTGTGATAGATAAACTTACTTATCTTTCTCTTTCCTAGGGAAGTTTGTTCTTCGGATTGAAAAAGATGTTGCGTTTCTGAAATCTCTTCTTTGATTACTTCCATTAGAGAAGAGCTTGAAGGTTCATAGAAAAGCATAAAGATGTTGTCTGTTGACATTTCTAGATGAACAGATCTCTTAACGTTGTACTGTGTAATTAAAAACAAACAAAGAAAAGGCAAGTGGATTTCACCAATAACGAACTCTAGCGACCTTTGTTTGTTTAAAGGACTTTTATATTATTTGAATATCCCAGTCTATCTCTATTTAATTTATTAGTTTCGTGTAAATGGTAAAATCTGTCTATTTTTTTGTCTAAAATCCTGAAATTTAATAGCTACATATCTTGTAATTACTCAGATTGCAAAGTGTATTGATACTCTACTATACTGAATGGATTAGATCATCACAATTGTGACAAAAAAATATACAGTTATTTTTGTTTTGAAAATACACAAATGAAAAAATATAATGAGCATTTCTCGTTCTCCATATCTATTTCAGTAGTATTAAACTCTGATTTTGTTTGGG